GGCGCGGGCCCCGGCGGAGCCGGCGCAACAGGGGGCCGCCTACAGGCAACGACACGGCTGAACCGGCCGAGGCCCCGGCGGCTCCAGAGCCCGCGCTGCGGCCGCCCAGGGCGATGACGGCGGAGAGGAACCAGCCGAAGGCAGGCTCCGAGAAGAGTCACCCGTGCCGTCAAGCCCAAGGGAAAACCACGGCCACCTCCACATTCCCGGCCGAGCCGCCCTGGGCCCGTGCGCCGCCACAGCTCTCACCTCCAGGCTGCGCTGCAGAAGCTCCGCGTTAGGCCCTGTCTTGGCGGCCCGGTACTGCGCGGCTGCCTGGAGCAGGGACTTCATAGAAGCCAAGGAATCCATGGCACCTCAGCTACAACCTCAGACAAACGAGAGAAAAACTAAACTCGTATCTCCCGCCGCCGCCGCCATTTGGATGGCGGGCGCCTACCCCGCGGGGCCTGACGGGAGGCAGCGCTTCCGCCGCCTGGCTCTAACGGGAATGGAAGCGGGGAGGGTCCCCACTGGGTGAGCCTCGGAGATGGAAAGCGGTGTGGCGTGGCTAGGGGAGCAAGGAGCAGGTACTCTGCTGGTACTCTGCTGCTTTACGCCCTGACGGAGAGCTGTGGGAAATGCAGGACATGTGGGCGCGTCCGGATTCAGGGCTCGCGTGCGGCCGTCCGCCGCCTGGCTCTAACGGGAATGGAAGCGGGGAGGGTCCCCACTGGGTGAGCCTCGGAGATGGAAAGCGGTGTGGCGTGGCTAGGGGAGCAAGGAGCAGGTACTCTGCTGGTACTCTGCTGCTTTACGCCCTGACGGAGAGCTGTGGGAAATGCAGGACATGTGGGCGCGTCCGGATTCAGGGCTCGCGTGCGGCCGAGGCGGTGGAGGAGTTTAGAGATACAGGAGGCTTTTCCTCAGAGGAGGTGGATGTGGCTGGACCGTGCTGAGTTGGGGCCGAGGCGCTGGCGAGAGGAAAAGGGAGCCGTGGGGATCGAACCCTGTGCTTAGCATTCTGCGACCTATCCGCTCCTCTGCCTTAGATCCTCCCCGCCGGGGGGCGCACAGCGCCACCTGCAGGCCTCACACCGCTCCGCGCCCCAGTGCTTTCCCCAGCGCCCTCACAGACCGCGCTGCTCCTCCCGCACATCTGAATGTTGAAAATCAGTTTCTTTTCATGCAGGGTCCTTGCTGCCTCAGTTAAGTTCTTTATTCTTTCCACGCTCTTCACTTCAGCTGACTTTCTCGTAGGCAACAAGTGAGATGTCACAGGAGCATGGGAATGGATGCACCTGTGGGTCTAGGTACAGCATGTGGAGCTGCAATCACTGCAGCGCTGTAAATCCAGATCCAAAGCAGCGCGCAGCATATTAACTAGAGAAAATCCCTGCTGAGAAGCACCACAGTCCAGCCCTTTGTGCCGGTTGGCTGTAATAGTCTGCTCAGCCATCAGGAATCACATGGTCCTGGTCGCGAGGCACGGGCTGGGATCCCTTGTCACTCGGGCTTTGCCGAAAAACCATCAGTGCGACTGACAAAATATGTGGGGGACTGCTGGGACTCTCATTTCAGAAAGCCTGCAGCGTTATGTCCCGTTAAAGACCAGGCTGCTGGAATCTCAGCAGCTGCTCAGGCTGGTAGACCTGATCACCAGGCAGGCTGCTGAATTCTGCAAGTAGACACATCAGTGTGTGTGCTTTTACATAGTAAGGGTTGCTTTTTTTTTTTCCTTCCCTCCTTTATCTCTCCAATAGTACAATTTTTCATGGACAACTACATTTTTTTTCAATTCGTGACTTTTGGACACTTACGTAAGCATTTTTGGCAATGCCAGAGTTAATTAATATTCTTAGTTTTTGTCTTCTTCAAGGTACAAGTACCAGTTGAGCCTGGCAACAGAAACTGTTTACTCTGTTAAATCCATAATGTGGTCCAAAGCTCTGAAAGATTTAAAAGTCCCTAAATAAACAGTGTTGTGAAATAAACATAGTAAGAAAGAAATCTAACTAAATCTAACTAGTATTAAACATAAAAATGCATAAATACTTTGTGAAAGATTTTAAACAAACACACAGTCAATACAAATGTCTTCCTCAAGACCCCAAACAGAGACGGAGTTGGTACTAGACATCGGCAGAATCAGGACATATGTTCCAGCTCTGGCTTGGGATGCTAGTTGCAGACCGCCTTCAGAACAAAATTGTATTTTAAATATTTGAAATCAGTGGTAAGATTAAAGCAAAATCTGACATTAAAAAAACCTATACATATTATAATACAGGGCTAATGGCAGTTGCAAATGAAATGTAGTAAGCATTCTCATATGTACAGTACCTATTAAAAAAAGGATGTGTTCATACCAACATGTGTGTATAACTTGCACTCCTCCAGAACCATTCATCAGTATTAAAAGTATTTCAAACCATTTTCATGTTGTTGGTTAATTCTTTATGGCATGGCTTTAACACAGCCTTTTTGTTTTAATTTAGATTATTCCAAACTACAGGACAATATTCGTATTCCTTGACATAGCTGAGACACTATCCACTTATCCAACAACAAACGTGAATCATGCACAAAGTAACAGTTGAGAGGTTTAACAGAGTTTAGAGGTCTTTCAGAGTTTAGAGGTTTTTAAGCATCCTATGATACCAACAGAGTTTTTGTTGTGCATGGTCTATATTGACACATCCCAGTTCTGCCATAAACTACTGCTTCATGCACATTCATTTATTGTATTTATATTGCTGCTTTCTAACAGATTGTTCATTTTAGCAGTAGACATCTTAGACAGTTTGCTGACTAAAAAACCAAAATACACATACATGTACTCAGATACCCTCCCTGCCAGTAGATGTATATGATGTATGCATGTGTCTGTTATAAAAAAATAATTATTTTGTTGCTGAGCAAAAATATATAGTAGCTTGTACTGAATCTGCTGGGAGAAAACACAGATGCTCTGACAGTCTGCAAAAGGAGGAGACTAATTCCAGAGGTACAGATCAACAACAGAGGATGCACAGCTGGCAGCCTTCCCCAGACAATCCATTGTGCTGTGGCTCAGCCCGAAAGGGCAGCTTCCCAGATCGTCAGGTTGCAGATCATTCAGGGTAAGACAGTGACGTATTCGCTGTCATCAATTTCTGTAAAGAAATCAATTAAAAAAGAGATGTTGTCATTGCAAATGGCTCCTTTGAAAGCCCATGTTAAGCAGGATGGCCTGTGGCCATGTTGCTGGGCAGGTATCAGTAACTCGATTTGGTTTCTCACTACTCTCTCTGCTATTGAAGGGCCAATGTTTAGGCCTTATGTCTTACGGACTGGGCCCTCTGGGTGCCCATTTGAAGGCAAAGCCTGCATTGTCTTTTCTGAGCCAGCAAGCTCTGTAAATTTCTGTGTTAAACAGTTGTATCCTCACGAGACTCCTTCTTCCTGAGAAACAGTCAGATGTTGGAAATCATCCATACTCAGTGAATCAGATTAGCAGCTGAGATAGCTATGACTATAGCATAACACACCCTTTCATTTCTAAATAAATACCCAACATACCTGGGACTTGTGAGCATAAATTAGCAGAACATCAACCAGAGTTTGAACTCTCTGGTTCCAAAGCTGTGATCCTGAGCACAAGGCTGTATGCTTCTTATTTTCAACATACAAACATAAAAAATTAGTCATGTTTTAATACAGACCACAACAAAGCACAAGCTGGATTACTTTGTTTTTGCCTTTGGTTTTTTTTGTGTGTGTGTTTTGTTCGTTTGGGGTTTTTTGTTTGTTTTTTTTTTGTTTTTTTTGTTGTTTTTTTTTTTTTTTTTTTTTTTTTTCCCCCCCCCCCCCCCCCCCCGTAGCATCTCAAAAATAACTGAGTTAGATTTTGGTATAAAAATAACTTTCAACCTGGAGAATGAAGGCAAAGCTCTCAGTGAAGTGCAGAAGCCTGACAGCTCGGCAGAACCACAATGGGTAAAACTGGTCCTCAGCCTTCCTGAGCCCAGAAGCATGAACAACCATGAAAGAATGAGCTGGGCAACATCATGCTTTGCCTTCTGTGTCTCTTGTAATTTTAACTTGTCAGTTTACAGTGGATGATAGTATGTAACCTATGAGCTGGGAATAACTGTTTTCCAGTGAAGGTAAGAGAGAAGGATGTTGAGCTTATGTTCTTGCAAGCAGGTCTCAGAGAGCACATAGCAACTATTCACCACAAACCTGTCAATACAGTTGTCTTAAAAAAACCCCAAACCACAAAGGCAGAGCTAAATATCTCACCATCATAAATGCCATCCTTTCCTGACTTGAACCTCTGGCTTCTTTGTGAGGCCTTTTGTTTCTTTACTGGGTAGCGGAGGTTTATTATTAGTCCTTGATTTGGCTTTTCATAAGTGTATATTAGGTCCTTTAACGTTCTGAAGATCTTATCTGGGACACCTTCAGTAGTCTGCAGGGAAAGGAAAAGAAAGATTGTTTGCAACTGCCCTTCACATAGAGTCCCAAAAATGAAAGGAGCAATGGGTTGCTTCTTGTTTACCAGGTATCTGTTTTGTAGACAGGTTTGGTGACACAATATTGTACTATCCTTAAAGCACTAGATGTAACCTCACTCACTATCTTTTTTTTGACAAAAGAACATCAGTTTAAAATATTGGCTCAGATTTGTGCTGCAGCAATCCACTACAGCAGAGTGTCAAAGAGTGACAGCATTACAGACTTCCCTCTGGTCTTAGAGCACAAGTTTAGGAATAACGTATTTAGTTCTCAAGTTGTTGGATTTCAACAGCTATGCGACAAGCAAAAGCCAAACGTTTTACAAATTATCAGCACTGTCAAGCAAAGGACATGTGCAGAGGCAGCAGACGTGTCTGAGGATCCATACAAAAATCCTTGGCACCAGCTTTCACTTTTAGGCAGAGGTTTATTATTTGTCCATCTTTGTGACTTGCATTGGAGACTCCTGAGGCCAAACACAGAGGATGGCACTCCTAAGTGGGGGAACAGCGTTCTCACAAACTGTTTTTTAATGTGTGGGTTCAACAGCTGGACTGAACTGCTTCCACAGCACAGCCCCCCAGTGATCTGTACAGAGACTTTGCAATGCTGGTGACTTCAGGACAGTGACAGACAGTAAGCACATTAAGCAGCTTCAATCACATTTTGATCACAGCGAGAGTCCTACTACTAGTCATTAAAAGTGAATGAGGCACTTTAGTTTTGCTTCATTTGCTAGCTAACAAAGAAACATGTCTTTATTTTCTTTGTTTTTCTGCATCTTTTATCTTCCCTTGAGCCCCGTATGGACTGAGTGCCACTGCCTCTGTGTACTGGGTTTGGCTGGAATGTAGTTAACTTTCTTTGTAGCAGCCTGTGTAGTGCTGTGTTTTGAATCTGTGACTAAAGCAGTGTTGATAACACACCCATGTTTTGGCTGTCACTTAAAGGTGCTTGCACAGCCCTGAGGTCTTCTCTTTTTCACACTCTGCTCACCCGGTGAGTAGGCTGGGGGTGTGCAAGACACTGGAAGGGGACCAAGCAGAACAGTAGACAGGAATTGACCAAAAGGCTATTCCATCCCATATGACACTGTGCTCAGCAATAAAAAGTCAGGGAAAGTGGGGATGTTTGTGGTTATGGCATTTGTCTTCTCAAATAACCATTATGCATGCTGAGGCCCTGCTTTCTAGGAGATGGCTAAACATCTACCTCCCGATGGTAAGCAATGATGAAACTCCTCCTTTGCTTTGCTTGCATGCACAGATTTGCTTCACTGATTAAATTGTCTTTTATCTTGATCCAGGAGTTTCCTCACTTTTTCCCCCCACTCTTCCCCTCGCCCTGTCCTGCTGAGGGGGAGAGGGAGTGAGCAGCTGTGTGGGTGCTTAGCTGCTAGTCAGGGTCAACCTGCTGCAGGAAGTTTGTGGTCCTTAAAAAAGCCCCAACAACCTCCCTTCCACCATCAATACATTATGTCAGTCTATTATTTGAGTAAGCAAAACAAACTGACTTAAAAATTTGAAGAACAGAACTCTTTTTTCACATTCTTGGCAAAACCTTGCAAGGAAAATTGGGTTTGAAAAAAACTACCAGTGTTTGAGTTAGTATCTGCTGATAGGCATGACAGCAAACCCCACTAGCGTGGCTGTAGTTCAAAACAGATGATTTTTTTGTCAACAAACCATTCTTCTTCATTGGAAATTGTGTCTTTTGTACTCAGTCCAAACCACTAATAAGCAAGAAATTACCAGCATATGAGAGCTTGGTGTGTCCTTTATGGAGTGAATTCCTCATTCCACTTAAATGTCACGTAATTGTTGCCAGTCCTGTTGGCTGTCCTGCTACAAGCAGAGGAGTGAGCCAGCTTTTGAAGTGTGCTCTCACCTTGCCTAGGGATTGGATGGATACAGCTAGCTCTTGTGCTTATTCAAGCAATTAGCAGCATTATCTGGGGTCATCAGTTCAGGTGCCTCAGAATCGCACAGGATTATAGATAATCAAATCTTTAAATTAAAAAGTTCATTACAATATTCCAAATTCCTATAAGATGCTGGGTGCAATGGCAGAGCTTTCGAGTAGAAAAAGCTAATTAGGAACTGGAGCAAGAAATTGATAGACTTTTCTTCAATGCTATCAAAAAGAAGTGATCAAATCAGAAAGCAGATAGTCAACAGATAACAGATCCACTTAGGTTGCAAGGGAATTCTACAAAGATAATAGCTACTTTCTCTCTTTTGAGATCCCTTCCAACTCCTATCATTCTGTGATATTTCTGAGCTCATATATAGTAATAAGAATAACATTTAAAAAAATCAAGAAGAGAGAAGAACACATTTTCTAAGGTGATGTGTTCATGTATATTATTTTTTTAAATCAAGACAACGATCTTTAGTGCAATCTTTACAGATGAAATGAGATTTACTCACCTGTATTCTAAAATATCCTTGGTGTTCTCTGAAGATACGGTAAGTGTAGATGAGATCTTCAAAGCTGTGAAAAACATTGTTGTATACATTATGCTTTTTATCAACTGTCAGACCACTCCAACAGCTGATCTTGACAATCAGCTTTTGGTTTTGTTTGTTTGCTTGTATCTTAAACTGCAACACAATGAAAGACTAAAACCAAAGAAACAAATCTAAAGAAATGCCTGGTGCTAAATAGCATCAATTGTATATATATATGAGCTTTCAAAATTATTGAGATTCTCTAAATCATATGTTTAATTGTCTGCTAACTAAAAGTAGTCATGCATGTTGTTTTCTTAAGCCTCAGAAACCCAGATATTACTTTGCCATAACTTGCCAATTCAGATCTAACCCCTTCACAATGGTATGCGGATCTCAGTTTTTGAATGCTTGACTTTGGACAAAATTTATGGCTCTCTTTTTGCCCTGCAGAGTTAGGCCATGTAAATGTAGCTAAGAGTGTTGTGTTTAACCTGCAGACACTGTGCTTTGCTTAGCATAGAACTTGATAAAATACATCCAACTAGCTCATGTCCACATCAGCTAACTGCCGGAGCTTCCCTCCAGCTCCTTAGGTGCATTTCCTATGTACTACTATAACTCCAATAAAGTAGATCTGGTAAGTCAAAGCAGTGAAAATTCTTCAAGTTTATACATCCAGAAAGGGCTAGATGTCACTGAGAAATTCCATTACTCGTTCTGAGGCAGTAAAACACAAAATAGGCCCTGGAATTCCACTGCAGGTGCTATGTAAGTGAAGAGTCCTTGCTTCCATAGGGTGCCTAAGTCCTTGCTCACCACCAGCAGAATTGCTTCATGGCACTAGAAACTACTTTGTGCAAATGTCAACATGGGAATAAACTACAAGCAAAGGGCAGGCACACATGTCATTGAGAGCTGCGATATTTCCATCAGCAGTGAGGGGAAGGGGAGCAGCGACCTGGTCGACTTTCAGACTTTACACTGGGTTGGACTAATCATGAGACAACCTTTTCACAATGGAGAGGCAGTGCTAATATGTACCCGTCCTTCAGAAGTGGAGCTATAAGGAAGACCTAAATAGCTAAAAAGACAAAAGTGAGGTGCCTTTCTTTCCCTGAAGTTATAGTCTACGGTAAAATGGGCTGTCTTCCAACTAATTACCAGAACCATGAGAGAAGCAGTCACCTTTCAAATAACTGGTCTACAGCTGAGAACAAGGACAAAAGATTCAACTGAGATATGACACAAGACTGCAATGCTGTATGGAAAACAAGCACATTGGCGTGGAGTGGTGCTCTGAAAGATTGCCTTTGTGAATGTCTTCTATCATATTGATAGAACTTGGGAAGAATGTGAGGGGAGAGAAAGAGAGAAAGTAAACTATATTAATCTAAGTAGTGACAAAGAATGACTCTGTAGAAAACTTGCAGTTCACCTTTTGCATGAGATTTGCTGGCATTCCTCTGAAGAAGAGAACAGGTGAAGAGGTTGCCACAGCATACGTAAGAATATGAAGTCGCAGAATGTTTTTCATGTAATCCACATTCTTATGGCAGCTCATTGTGGCATCACAAATTCAAACTGTATTCCCCCCACATTGCCCCACACAGTGACCCCTTGAGCTGTCTGTACCTTCATGTATTCCATGTGTGACCATATACGACATTACTTCAACCTAGAATATGTTTGATTTAACCAGAGTATAGCTAGAGATTTATATGGTACTGGACATATACTCAAGAGCATGTATGATATTAGGAATATAACAGTGGTCTGAGTCTCTGACTCCTGCTGCCAAAAACAGACAAGGTGGTAGAAAGAAGAGACACCACATTTTTAACAAAGTGCAAGACTGGAAATGTCTGAAAACAGCAGTTAGTATTAAAGACATGAGAAGTTGCTCAGTAAAATTGAATAAGACAGAGGTAGAAAAGCAAAACTGAAGGGACCCTAGAGTTTGCAAAATGAGAGAACATTTCATATCTTCAAATACAAGATTACTCTAACCAGGGGTTTTCAAAGAACTTATGAACTAAATTCATAGGCCTTTATATAAGAGTAATTTGATTCCACAGACATCCCATCCTCTTATCTATCTTCTTATCCTCCTCATGTGTGACACTTCCTTAAACTTTATTTTGCAGTTGTATCACAAAAAGACTGTTGAATTCTTTGAGAGATATTAGTAGAAAATGGCCTCCAGTCACCAGCACTCAGAAAATGATGAATGACTTCACAGGTCCTACGTTTAACAAAATTATTCTTCCTTTGAATTACCCAGGGTTTTAGTTATTATGATTTTTAATAATATGCAGGTGTTTGAACACTCAGGCTACTGATGGTCTTGCATATATTTTGTCAACAGAAATAAAAGTTTTATCAAATACTGCAATGGCAGCTATTCAGAAAATGAACTGGAGATCATGACCATGATCAAAAAACGCAATATAGCTGCAAAGAAATAACTACCATAAATAAGCATGGGATGTGGACAGCAGTATCTGAAAACAAGTTCTTTTAACTAGTATTCACATTCATCAGAAGGATTTCAGCTGTAGCTACATGAGTTAAGCTGTCTTGGGAGAGAGGAGCTTAGGGTGAAAACCTGGCTCAGGGGTTTTGTGCATAAATGAATAGTTACTCTGGAAATAAACGACTTGATTCTGCAAAAAAAGTTACTACGGACTGAGATCAGGACAAGACTTCCAGTTGGAATAGATTTACTTTAATACAAAGAGTTGTATCACAGGGATGCATCTTCTGGTTTTTTTGTTTGTTTTGGTTTGGGTTTTTTTCCTCCTTGAGATACCTGTGGAAATTCACATGTTCCTGGCTTAAGAGTATTTTATAGATGTGGGTGTTATTTCTTTAAACATAGACATAGATGTGAGGAAAAAACCCCAACAAACAAAACTAAAAACAAAACACAGAAAACGATGTTTGAAGCTCATTCTTTACCTATCATCTAAATTTGGAAAGGTTACTGCTTGGATATTTTTTGGCTACTGTAACTTTTAAACATGAAAGTACCATTAAAATGGAAACTTCTGTTTCCACATTAATGACTAAGTGCTTAGCAAGAACTGCTAAGTACAAGTGCCTGGTCTGGACACAAGTGAAATCCAGTGGCAGAAAGGCAGGCTGAGAAAAGCTTTTTTGGGGAGATGCCATGATGAACCATTGGGAAAACAGAATCAGGAGCAGCAGGTCTGGACTGAGGCACTACCTGGGACAGCTTTATGCGAAAGCACTGCTGCTGTACAGTGGAGGAAGACGTATCAGCAGAGCTGGGCACCATGCCTGATCAAAAGATGCAAAATGGGAATACCCTTGCTGTCCTGTACCCCAATCAGTAGAGGACAAAAAGGTTGGTTGTGCTCTGTAGCAAGTGGATCAGTATCTCTGCCCATGGAGCTAATTCGAGGTGTGCACCAGTTTGTGCGCCAAACATGCTAGGTGCTAATCAATGTTTTAAGATGCACTGAGGGTTTCAGTGTTGATTGCTTCCAGCTTTAGGACAGCTTTCTTCTGCCTAGACAACCACTGTCAGACAGTCCAGTCTCTGAGGCAATTCTGAGCCAACATGCTATTACCATCCCATTTGCTATCTGAAGACAAACGTTGCTTTTACCTCTCAAGCCATTATCCATTATACCATTGCTGCCACCCCTGCAGTTTAACTATTACATTCGTTAATGCACAAGTTAAAGTCAAATACACCGAGCACTAAAGTTTTTAACAGTTTTTAACACGAAAAACACACAGAGGATAGCTGAAAGTCACACGCATTTTCATATACCTGCCCAGAACACTGTTGACAGACAAAAGCATGTCTGCAAGCTATCACAAGGTAGATCTGCTTTGCACTGGGGAAAAAAATAAAAGAGGGAAGAACAGGAAAGTGACTCTGTAAGTGTGGCACAAAGTCTAACCCTCATGTCAGCTTGCATCTGTCCATGACCTACTCCTTCTCTGGAGACATTCAAAACCCGCCTGGCCGCGTTCCTGTGTGACCTAGTCTAGGTGATCCTGCTCTGGCAGGGGGGTTGGACTGGATGATCCTTCGAGGTCCCTTCCAACTCCCGAAATTCTGTGATTCTGTGATACTCTGTAGACATCCTCTCTGCTACATCAGTAGTTCAAACTCATTGCAAGCACCTAAGCAGCCCTTCACTTCCTCATCTACCTCTGATGCATGAGATCTCAGCAGCCATCTTCCCATGTCAGGGACTAACATTGTCACTCTTTCTCGGTGCCAGGATCACCGTTTGTCCCTGCTGACAGGGTATGCATGCCCTTTCTGTTCCACACCCCCTGCCCTCCCTGCACCCCCTACGTTGTCTCCTTCCACACCATACTTAAAGCAGGTTCCCACAGCTCCCTCCGCGAGGGCTCTGTTTGTCCCAAACTTCCCAATTCTCTTTTTACTCTGCCATTTCGCAGACCTCCTTTCTTCTACCCACCAACACCACAGTATTCCATTTCCATATCCCTTTTTCTCACTTCTCTGTTTCAAAAGAAATACCTTCTTTTGATTATTGAGAAAAATATTTTCTGATATTTTTGAATTAATTAGATGTAGTGTTAAAAACTTTTCATGACACTCAAACACATCATCAAGAAAACTGTAAAACCTCATAGGGTCAAACAAAGACAGACTCAGGAGTTACTAATTCATAAACTTTGAAAACATTAGGAACAGTTCAATTACATATACGAAAAGTGTAAAACAGGCTTCTTGAAAGGGAAAGAAAAGTGCTATTCCCTACAGCAAAAGAAAATAATAAAATTTTAATTGTAGCAATTAAAATTAAAGATTAGAAGTAGTAATTTTCTATGCCCATCTTGTTCTTGGACCTGTCATGTTAATTCGATCTGTACATTATAGCTTTCTGTTTCAGCTTATGTTCTTAAATCAGATAAAATTCTTTTGAAGAATACAGCTAGACTTTAATCAGATAAAATGTCTATGAGGAAGGAACTATTTTGTAACACTCTGTGAGACTTTTCTGTATCCCAGCAGTGCTAAAATGCTATTTACTCATCATTACGGTGGCAGTAACTTTGACTAAGGCTCCTACTATATTTTGGCAGGCAAATCTATTTTCTCTGGGCTCCTCTTATTTTCTGCAGAGAGAGACCAGTATCAGCAGATTACAGTTAATCTATCCTCTATTGAATAAAATGTCTTTTGCAAATGTCACCCTCTCAGCACTCACTATAGAGGAAGCCTAAGGCAACTATCATTACTTGAATACACACACACCCTGCCTTGGAGTGTGTTAATGTTAGGGAAGAACTATTAATGTTAGAGAAGATGAACACTGGTCTTTGGAGCTATCTGAAAACTCATAAAAAACGTAGTATTAGAGTACTTACAAAACACAGAGACACAAAGCTCCTTCCATACTTTCACTCTCTCGTATTAAATAGCTACCATTCTTTCTGTTCTTTCCCAGCAGTTCTTCACAGGTTCTTTTTGTTATCTTTCCATGAAAAAATGGGAAATCCATGAGCAAAAGAAAACAAGGTCTCTTGTCTGTCAAAGCAATTCCAGAGAAAGCCAGGAGCCTTGCTTTAAAAGAAGACTTATTCCAAATGCAGCTGCCTGCAGACAACTGAAGTTGGAGGTGCTAGGTGTGTACACGAGGTCATCTGTGTTGTTATCACTGACCTGTCCGTCGTGAAGCTGGTTACCAGCCTGTGCTTACAGCTCGTGATGCAGTGAAGGCAGGAAATGGGAAATGGTTTGACTGCGCTGGCCACAGTCCACATCAGAAGGGAAAAGTGTTTTGTCACATTATATCAGCAGACATTTAAGTTGTGTATCTTGCTTCTAAGCTATGCAATAGCTCAGTTGAAACCTACCTGCAGTTATATTTTGAAGTTAATTTTTATATTTAAAGTGCCTCAAAGCCCTGCAAATAGGGTTCTTGCTCATAGTTTTGAAAAATGCTGTTTGGTTTGATTCCTTTCCTCACCAGATTTGCCTTGATTCCTTTCCTCACCAGATTTGCCTTCTAACAGTTATTCAGCTTTTTTTTTCTTTCTTCCCTTTTTTTTGCTTACTTGATCGCTTGATTTTTCAAGTTTTGATGAGACAGCAATATTTGAGAATGAGATTTTTCAAAACAGAACATTCTGCCCGCCCCCCCTTTCTTATTTTTAAAGAGTAGCTATTTTGTGGAGAAGTTCTGCTGTCTCTGTGCCATGATTTGAGAAACATGCCAGGAAGAAGAAGGGAGTCAGGCCGTGTCTTTTGCCACCCTGTGGAAGCCGCTGTCAATTCAACAAGAACAAAGGTACAGTCATGTGTAGAACTGTGGCTCCCCGGTGGAGAAAATGCTGCCCAGCTCCATGGGAGGTGCTCTCCCAGGCATTTTGTACTTTCCCTGCTGGAAGCCAAAGACCAAGGGAGGAGCACACAGATCTGGAGAAGCAGGAGATGAGAACTAGGCTGGGCAGTGTTTGTGAGAGAGAACAAATTGAGGGAGGACACAAAGATGTGGTGAAAGCTGTGATTCAAATGGCAAGAATGGTAGGAGAGATGGAGTTTTCATCAAAATAAGCTGTAGAACTGCACAAGGATTTTAATAGAGTGACAAAGGGTAAGATACAAGCTGGCGTCTTGACCACAGAGTGGAAAAAACATCTTGTGGAAAAAACAAGGCTAATACCGAACACTGGGAAGTGAGGACAGTTATGTTGTATATGCAGCTGTTACTTTCATGTTTCTTACTCTGACAACTCTCTACACACAAAAATCTTATCTTAACATTGACATGTTTAACTGCAAGTTAATCATATGTGGCATTAAGAGCATTTTCAGATGGTGTCTTAGTTAGCTCAGGAATAAAGCAAAAAGATAGGGTTTTGTGTCAAAGACATTTGGGGAGTTAGAGAAAATGATTCCCCTAAGAGAGAAACCTTGAAATGGCAAGTCCAAGGTGAAGCTAAGGCTAAGGTCTGTACTGCAGTGACCACAGACTACTAATAAAACAAGTCCTCACTCTCAGGGGGATAGTGATGGTGCAGGGAAAATACACCCTTCATTTTGCAAGTTACCTTAAAAGCACATGGCAAAGGTTCATCTTATTATCAGATACACTGGTATTTTCCTATAGGTTAAAACTGTTTGGGGCTTTTGTCTACACATCTTATAAATACAAGATTTCCATGAGCAATTTTCAATAGATCTTGCAGATCTGAATCTAGAAGTTACTTAAAAGGAAATGGTAGCCACACGTTGCTCACTCACTACTTAGTAGAGTGCTTCTCTGATGAGAGAGAAGCAAGAAATAAACCTTAAAAAAGAGAAAGAGCTTGAGGAGAAATGGGGGCTCAGCGCTCCTTTCAGCAGCAGTCACCGTCCACAGCCTTGACTGCCTTCCTCCTCAGGCAACACCAGAAGCAGCAGGTTGTTCTTGCCCAGCCTTTTCTTTTTCCTGCTAATGCAATTAGCCATTGCAGATGCAATGTTGGCTCCAGTCCTTAAGTCAGCACACTTCTGTTTCATCGATGCTCTTCAGAAGTCTTGAACTAGCTCTGGGAAAGATATGGTGAAGTTTGAGACAATGGTGAGACCCAATCAAAGGGCATCAGGCAAGGGAAATCCAGAGGCAAGAAGACAAAGCATAGAGAGAGGATTCTGTGTGGAGCGGCAGGAGCAACGACTGGAGGAACTGGGAAAAATGGAACAAGGAGCGAGACAATGGAGTGACAGGAAGGTTACTGAAAAAAACACTGAAAGCAACGGACATCAAGAAAATGTGAAAAAATGCTTAAGTGGATTTGTGACATAAAGGAGAGTTTAAATCAAGAGACTTGAATAATTGTGAATTTATAGAGACCTTGCAACTATTTCAAGAGCCTCAATGGGATAAGAAATTTTGGAATAGCAATCAAGGTGCTACAGTTGAGGGAAGGGCTAATATTGTAGTGGTATTACAGCTATGGATTATCAGAAAATGAATGAAAAAATATTAATTTGTGCAATATTTGTAGGACCTTATTTCAAGGTCTGAGCAGTTACTGAGCTCACGTAGTATCAGAGCACTGGTGCTTACACTGGTGAAAATGACGTATTTTGAGCTTGGTACTCAACTCTACGTACTGCTATTGATGATGTTGTGCTTGGTCTTCCTAGTTTCTAAAAAACACTGAACCACTGAATCACTTCTAAAATTCTGTGTGTGTGTGGATTCAGGTGCCTAAAAGATTGTCTTGTGCCATAGTAGACATGCTAGGACATCTGAGGTAGCCACACAGGGCTGGCAGGTGTGACACTGGTCTGGCATGGGCAGACACATGACCTTTTGAAATGGCAGGTAGAGGTCAGTCAGAATGACTACAGCATCTCAAGCAGCACTAGATGGTGATGAATTGCTACATTTGTGCCTAAGGAACCCAACCCCTTTACCTGCTTTTTAAAGAATTAGTTTCTGCTCTGGATATTAAAAAAATGAAGGTGAAACCACCAACTTCATTTTAAGAGAAAGCACAATGGGCTCAATGGCTTTCTCTTTTGAGGAAGATTTGCCTTCCTCATTGTATTTGTGCACCTATCCAGCAATTCCCCACTACAAAAACAAGTATCTCTATTTCTCTTTCAAATTACTTCCATAGTGCTTTCCAGGAGAAAAATAAACTCCAGCTCCTTCTGCTTCTGTGCCATCAACAAGAGCACTAAGAACTTGGGACCATGGATTTTCTTAGTGGTGTGCAACTGTGTAGCCAACTTTGTTAAAACTTCAGCAGCAACTCAAATTTTGCAACCATCATGGCTAGTTCCTGTTAGGAAGGGAAGAAATTTCTTGTGTTGCTAGTCAGGTCTCCTACTTTGTGCAATGCACTCCATTTGTTCACAAGCACGGTCCCTTCCCCCATCACCCTCCAATCCCCCGCCCCCCTCCCCAATTTTTTACCTTTTTTTTTCCTGATGTATTTCTGTCAGCTGGAGACAGGGGCAATGGTGTCTTTGACATGGTAAGATTAGAGCTTTGATCTGGTTAATCTAAGATCATTGTTTTAAAAATTTCTCCCCTTGGAAAGCATAATGAGATGAAGAGGGAGAAGTTGTGCATTAGTGGATTTGTAGTTCCTTTTAAGGTTTCCAATTCTTCATTCAAATAAAGAAGTGATACTCCCAGGCAGAACTTCTAACTGTAAAACGGAAACTTCAGACACAGAAAACTTTCCTGTGGTTCACTGTGCACGATGCAGGCAGTGTTATGTCAAGGTAATACAGTTTCCATAGAAGAGAGCACCCAGGAATTAATAAGATCCTTTGACCTTACTTTATCTTACCTTACCTGGAAGACCTGCGTCATGAGTATCACCATGACTCGTCCCACACAGCACCGAATCTTTACCGTGTATGTTGGGATCACATAACACTATATCTCAATGGGCCAAGTTTACCTATAAACTCTGAGCAAGCATTTCATAACTAGTATTTCTGGCTTAACAAATATAGCAGGTATTTTTAGCTTACACAAACCTCTGTACCCAGGCTGCCATCTCAGCTGAGTCTGAGGAATGGTGAGAAATATGACCTGATGGTATTAACTGTGATGAAATCTGTCTATACTTTGATTTATGGGTTAAGGGGATGCAGAGAGAGAGAGCAACACCTGGGTTTCTTGGCAACTGTTTACTGATAAAAATTTCTAGAGCATTTGATGTCTGTGAGACTCTTGTTTGAATAAAGAAGAACTGGAAGCGGTGTTGCCTACATGACATTTATGAGCACAGTCTTCCTCAGAAAGTTCAGGATACTGCATGGCATTGTAATTTTTGTGCATCCAGAATGGAGCCAGGGCTTCTGGTCAGTGTGGAGGAGTACGTTCCTGTAAGCTGCTGTAACCCTGCCCGGTGAAAACCACAGTGGACAAGCCTGGCCTCATTTCTCATTTGTGGCTTGTTCTCATGTTGTCTGTGCTTGTAGCAGTGAAGGAGTTTGGAGCCACTCTAATTCATGCTCTGGACAGTTTGTGACAACAGAGGCTTTTTGTTTCAGAGGGAAAAAATGACGAAGAACTGCTCCAAGTTCTGTGCAGTTTGTGATGAGAGGTGTTGGAAGGTAAAATGGCAGTGATGCCCCAGAGCAGTGGGGCTTGAGTGCTTGAGGCAGACACGCCAGGCTGAGCCTCTGGCGTTGTCACTCAGATCTTAGCTACACCAAACCAAGCTGTGGCTGTTGTGAATCTGCTCTTAAAATTAATTGAATCCGCTCCAAAATAGGATTGGGTTGGTTTTTTCTCATCCACTCTAGGAAATTTCTCAGTTCTTCTCATAGTCTCCCGCAGTGACTGACTAGCCTTTCAGATGTTAGAGAAGGGGGAAAAAGTCAAGTTCTTTTCCCTGAGATAGTGCCTCCTGGGCTGCTTCTACCCTTACACTGAAAAAAAGAGCTAGACTGTAACTGCCAAAAAGTCATCTATACACCTTACTCACACTTACATCCTTTAGTCAGTCTGGTGGGTTTTTTTGCCTAAATGCAACCACTTCCTTC